ACCTACGGGTATCCCGAGTTGATGATGTTGCTGATGGCATCTTGCAGTTGAGGTTTGTGCACTAACACTCACTGCGATGCAGCACAACATCGAAACTTGCTCCGAGCGAACTCGTGCTGATAACGTTGATAGTTTTTTCGGCTATCTAGCCTACTAGCTCTAGCTGCGGTGAGCTCGAATCGATGCTGTGCTTGATACAACTGGGACAACGGCTAATAAAGACGAACACTGCTTGGTGTGAAATACCAAAGGCTCCCCCACTAGTACTGATCGTTATTATGCCTTATATAGTGCTGGACGGAAAGGGGCAAGTCAGTAACCCGTCCACAACAATTATGACGGTCACTGAACTTACACTAAGTCACAGAATACTGAAGTCATAGTTCCAGCGTCCGGTCTGGACACCGTGAGTCAACTCAAGGTCATTAGAATTTTTCTGGGTAGCTACTTTATCCCATCAACGATTCTAATTCGTTTATACCATATTGCACTAGGGGGTGTCGATCAGATTGCTGAGCTGCTCGGGTATATTCGCCGGTAAGACTCAGTGTTGTTTGATATTTCTGACTTTGATGTCAGACCGCTGATGGTGATGATATGGGCTTGATTTCCGTACCGACTGGAAGGCTGATGAATGAGCTTCGGGCATTGAGCTCGCGGACCTCAGCGCGGCGCTCCTCTTCTCCGGCCATCACCTCCTGGACGTCGCTGGGGGGGGTGCCAATGAATGGCCCGCGGTTCCTCATCCAGAGGAATGGTGATTCCATGGGGCTGCCCCGTTACGGTGTCATGCAGCAGCCGAAGGTGATAGGGCGCACACTGCGCGAGCTGGGGGGGCGGTATCTGAGTCGCCGCGGAAGCTCCGGCCGGGGTGGGAAGCGCGCGAAGACGTTTCGGCCCCGATGCAGAAGTGCCTTCGAGAGCCGGCGGAAGGGTTCCTGCTCTTCAGGCGTCAGGTCGAACCAGTAGAACCGGGCTACGTAGATCACGTCGCGGCGGGCGAACATCGTACCTTCCAGATCAGCGCCGAGCAGAAGTTGCTCCACAAGCCCGACGGGCGTTTTCTCGTACGGATGCCTCCGTCTCGCCGGTTTTTATTTCCGGACGCACCAGTTTTCCTTTGATCACATCCCATACATCGGCTTCATTGGTCAGAAACACGATAACGAGAGATTTCCAACTGTTGTAGTTGTAACCGTTCTCATCAAGCGTGACTGGGCACGTTGGAGGTTCATAGCCTTCGCTATCCGCTGACGATTCTGAACCGGTTTGTGGCACTACTGCAGTGGCGTTCCTAGCCCATTTTGCGCCCGGGGCAGAGGACGGGAATGCGCCCCCTTCATGTCGATTTTTTTTCTACAGAAGACGACGGATTGAGTTTTCAGTATACTTTACATATACATCTTTACATTTATTGTTCTGATCTCTTCACTCTGTTTAAACTTAAAACATTCGAAGGTTCCGAATTACCACGTATCACAATATACCACATGTTTAAAATACGACTTTTCGAGCCTTCACCGAAGCGAAGGTATCGATTAAAGATTCGAAGTCGGTGTCCTCGGTGACTTCTCTCTCTATGCTCATGATAGAGAGATCAATCAGTCTGTCTTGCCCCATTGACGCTCGGAGGTATGATAGGATGAGCTTAAGCTTGCTGAAGGATCGCTCGCAACTGGCGATCGAGACGGCAATCGTCAGTAGTATTTGTATCGCTACCCGAAGATTGGGGAAGACACTCTCGTCGCCGTATTCTATGATGAAATTGAGGAGTTCTTCGGGTTTCCTTAATCGTAACTCCTCCCGCACGCTGACTAACATCCTACAATCACATATCTCTCTGTATAAGTCGTTACCGTCGACATCATCCGAATACATATTCGCAAATGACAAACAATCGGACCTCAATTCGTTCAGCTGGCCTTGTAGTAGCCGCTGAGTGTCGAGAAGGAACCCGAAAGTATTGTCTAGGTTTGTCAGTCGCTCGAACCTTTCTCTCATTTCTCGCTGAAGCCGGTCGATCGTTGAGTACATAACACGGCGCATTTCTTGTATAGCGGAGATTTCAGAGTTTCGGTGTTCATCTGGCATACTTCTTCTTCTCCTATTGCGTTTCTCGAATGCTACATCGTATTCATCGCAGAGGCATTGGCCATCAGTGATGGCTGCGTCTACGAAATCGCATCCTTCTCTGGAGAAGGTGTTCTTCAGAGACGACAGATCATTGGCAGCTTCATGGAAATTCATGGAGGGATCCTGGAGTCTCTTCTGGACCCTATCGACTCTGCTCAGGAGGTATTCCAGAAGACCGTGAAGCGTCAGAATTCATACGAGACCATGCGGGTGAATAACTGACGTGCCTCACTTCTAGTTTCTACCGAGTCGCAGGAGTCATCAGACATTTTATCCAGGAGATCGATAATCTCCCTGACATGCGTGCTGACTACTTTGACAGCATCGCTGCGAGAGCTCCATCTTGTTTCAGACTCGCGTTTCAGTCCGACGGGGATCGTCTTTTTCAACTTCTCCCATCGCAGAGTCGAACGGGAAAAGAAGGCGTACAGGGCTTCAATAGTCGCGAAGAAGCTAATCATTGCTGGTTCACTGCGGGCAGAGTGCAAGCCGGCTAGATTGAGGGAATGATTATCACAATTCACGAATAACGCTAAACCATTCTTCTCGAGCAGCCGTTGATTCACACCGGAGCGGTGACCGGCCATGACGGCGGCATTGTCATAGCATTGGGACCGGCAGTTCCCGAAATCCAGCTTGTCGTCCTCAAGTTTTTCAAGATCGTCGCTACCAATGCCTCAGCATTCTTTTCATGTACTTGAACGAAGCCGAGGAAAGACTCCCTGACCTGAGCTTTTTTCTGTTCATAATCAACGTCGACATATCTCAACACGAACGAAAGTTGCTCTCTGTGAGCAAGATCGGGTGTGGAATCCACGAGAATCCCGTAATATTTGGCCTTTCTGATTTTTCTCAGGAGTTTTTCCTTCACTTGTCCTGCCATGAGATGAATGAGCTCATTCTGCGTTCTAGACCCCAGATAGGACGTCGAGCCCGGATTTCCCCGAGAGCGAGTCATGTGGTCCTTGATGATTGGGTCGAAGTTTGCGACGAGCTTCATTAGGCCGAGAAAATTCCCGATATTACCCACGTCTTCGCATTGGTTTTCCCGGTGGCCTCTGAGTGGCAAATTCTGTGTAGCCAGGAATTTGATGCAGTGACTTATTCTGCTGAGAACATACCTCCATTTCTGTTTCTCGGTTGCATACACTGATTGCACTTCGATATCGATAGCGCTATTAGTTCTCAGATTTCTTTCGAGCTCTTTCCAATCAGCGAAACAGGCTCTATGAGACGGAGCATTTTCATGAGCATCCATCCTTTCTATATTTTTCCACTTCGTGAATCCTTGGGAGGACGTCAGTGCTGAATTGTGTCCATCAGCTCTGGCGAAGAGAAGGCAGCAGAAGCAGTAAGCTGCGCCCTTCGTTGGAGAGTAGACGAGCCATGTGCGGAGAATCTTTGTGCCGAGGCCATTTCCCAACCTTTTGTAGAACCACGATTGAGTCATGCATCTCCGCCGCGTCGAAAAAAAGGGCCGTTTCTGTTCTGAAAGTACTCGCTCCCTAGGGTCACCATCTCAACTCTTAAACTATCGGAGACGGTGACTTTTCCGGAATTCGAGTGAAACTCCAGTAGCCCAAGATCGTGCTCGGCGATAGCTGCCGGTGTGGATGAGACATTGGTTATGAGTGAGTCTTCCGGAGCGTTCACTGATGATGCTGTGACACTGGTATCCCGGGAAATTTCTTCCGAAGTCACTGGGTCTGAGTCGCCGTCATAAAGAGAATCAGTCGGGGTCGGCGGTATTTCATGGCCATCACGAAGAGATTCAGTCGGAGTCGACGGTATTTCATCGCGAGCACGAAGAGAATCAGTCGGAGTCGACGGTATTTCATCGCGAGCACGAAGAGATTCAGTCGGAGTCGACGGTATTTCATCGCGAGCACGAAGAGAATCAGTCGGAGTCAACGGTATTTCATCGCTATCACAAAGGGAATCAGGGGGAGTCGGTGGTACTTCATCGTGATCAAATGGGGTTCCCGGCGGAAGAGTTTGCGGTGTTGTCGATTTATTCCGAGCTAAAAATGACAGGAGAACCTTTCGACTTTTCTCCGTCTGTCTATGGATCGATTTCCTTCGTTTTCGGCCCTGAGCTCCGCTTTCCTTAATACCATTTCGTTTCATGTCTATACTTCAGTCTGCAAAACAAGCTAACATGAGAGCTTCGCCGTGACTCGAGTCATGGATTTGGAGCTTCAATTTCATCGGAGAAGTCGCAGAACTCACCCGAATTTCCACAGTAATGTATGTGTGTGTATTTCTCGCAGAACCCTTAATTGTTTACGCGCCAAACTTTGGCGAGAGAGCGAGATAGTGAATTCCGTGTGGCGCAAAGACACGGGGAGGAGGATCAGCGAGGGTCACTGAGAACGTACATATATCTCTTGGAGACATTCGCTTCACTCGAGCGGACCAATAGGATGGCTCTCCATGTTGCGGGAGGAGATAGCTTCACTGTCTCTTGTATAAATTTTGAATTCCACTGTATTAGAATCAATTCTAACCTCCCTATTCGCGCTTAGCTAAAATGAACAGAAATCACGATTTTGCGCCCCTCCGAAGTCGGCGCCCGGGGCACGTGCCC